TCCATAACGTAATATAGAAAACTCACAAAATAATTGGCATATTCCGTTAACTTGTTATTGTAACCTTAAAAAATCAATTTTATTAGGGACATAAATGTAAAATTAAAATCCCAAAGAATACCTCCTTAAAAATTTTGAAATTAAGCAATATTTTCTATTTCTTTTTTTTTTGCTTTCCCTTTTCTTCCTTCTTTTCTTTTCCTTTTCCTTTTCTTCCTTTTTCTCCAAATCCAGATCTACCACAATTCCCAATAGCTTCAATCAATAGATCTAACACCAGAATGCATATGCATCTTTCTTGATCCCCGCAACTAAAGCCAAGAAATATTTTGTCGGAAATTGCATCCATAAGGAAATCAAAGACAGAGAATTTTGATGCCATCCTCTACATTGCCCATGGTTAGAAACTAGCTCCTTCCATCCCTACCTTCAAATTAATCAGCCCTTGTTCTTTCCCTTGTTACCTTCAATTCCAACAAATAGTCCAAATATTCTCAAAACCAATATAATTTGTATAACCCATTTTCATTATGCCTTAAACACCTCTGCTAACCAAGAACTCTCAATTAACATTATTTCACCAAGTCAATTCCTATGAAGCTTCACTGTTCCCTAGGATTGACTTTGGGCCTTTCCTGCATCTCTTAGGTGGAAGGTGAAGCATAATTATTTAATAAGGAATTGCCGCATAGTTCATATGCGGCAATTCGTTTTAATTTTTTTTTTAAAACGTAACCTTAACCCTAAAACCAAAATCCCTAAACCCTAACACCAAATATAAACCCTAACCGTGGAAGTCTAAAATTTAATTTATGTACAAGAATTGTGCTAATTTCATAAACGGTGATTAAGCATGCAATTAAATGAAAATAAATTTTACCCAAGTCATCCTTTTTAATTTTTTAATATTAATTTAAATAATGATAAATGATGCAGCATTCAACAATAAATGGGTACTATAATTAACACATGAACTTGAATAATAATAAGACGGAAAGTTTGACAAGAAAAATTCTTAAAATCTGAATATCATCCACCAACGTGTCTCTTGCCCTTATTGCGCGGAGTAGTAGAGCAGCCACTTTTTCAATGTATCCTTCCGTGTGGTAGATCTCGTCCCAATTGTAGCCATTCAAATCTCTGAAGTAGTATCTGCACTTGTTCAGACATTTGATCCTCGTTATTATCAACGAAGAGGTTTAACACGGGAGTCTAACTGCATATAGGACAAGAACCACGTATAGACGTTTGGAAAGCAGCATTAACGGAAAAGCTGTTGTTGTCCATATGCAAAACAAGTGAGAAACCCATCGAAATTCCTAAAAAATGGTACGTATGGTCAAGATCATCCTGGAACTTATTTTGTGAACGAAATGATGTATCAGATATAGAAGAGGTCAGTGCAGCAGTAGACGTATAGCCAAATACGGGTATGGGAGTAGGTGTCTCATTGAAATTACTTCCGAAAGTTGACACAGTGAGAGATGTGAAAAGGCTTCAGTGTAAGGAAAATATGTGCTAATAGGTGGGTCGTATCCGGACAGTGATGAAGTCTACATTATGTCTGTGTCTGGCACATCAACAGCATGTGTAAAGGTGCTCTCTCTGCGACACCTAACTGGTTATTTTCTATCACGGATCTCCTTAGGTAGATGTTCAATAGGCATCTGAAAAGGGACAATACTAGAGGGAGATAGGCCAATATCTTGATGGTCGAATGGACCAACTACCATTTTATGTCATAAATTCAAGTACTATAATACTCTAAATGCCTCCTCATGAATCGCTGTTAGTTCCATATGAACATATTGGCCACAATTTGTGGGATCGAAGTACATTTCACAAATTGAATCGATCTGAGACATACAATCAACCTAAAAAAATAAAATTTTGTGTATTGTAGTCATTTCGTATGTTAATAAATAAAAAAGCAAGCATATGGTTAGATTAAAAAATGCAAATATTAAATAATTTACCAAGTAGTCGAATTGTCTCACATCTCCTCAATAAGCATCATATCGGGTCTACTGCGAAATAGGAGCTGTTATATAGCGACTAGTACTATTTTGGTACCATACAATATACTCATCCGTAGGCATCATTGGATCGCATTGATAGCTACCAACAATTGTTCGAGTACGATGCTCTTAGTATTGCACCAAATGACTATGGTACCAGACTGATAGGCTGAAATTTATCTATTTATTTTACTATTATTTTCCCCTATCACCTGACTTGATGTGGATTAATTGCTGGATTCTACTCATTTTTCTTAATTTACGTATATTTCAGGGAGTAGAACGAAAATATGATAACATGTGCCAAATTGACTGGAAAAGAATTCAGATGATAAAGCTTGTCCCAGGAGCACTTTTGGAAAAAAGATGTCACGCCCATTTTGGTAATTTTCGCAAAGGAATGACGAACGGAGGGCTTCTCTTCCTGCTGTGAGCCGCCACAATAAGAAGAAGAAAAGAGGATCAGATGAGGGCTGGCTTTGATTCTTATTTTTTTCGTCTTTAGCTTAGCAAAGAAAATTGTTGACTTTTCCTTTGAGTTTACCTTTTTGCTTTTGAGACTTACGAATGTCAGGAGCTTAGCCATCCTTGGCTTTGACTTTTTCTTCTTCTTTAGCTACTTTTAGTAGTTCTCTTCTTTTCCTTTGTGCGTGGAACAGAATGGAAGCCATGAATGGCCTTCTGTAGCTTTTCTATTTATTCAGTATTCGGACGAATTGGATTGTCCAAATTTAGACGGACGATGGCCGCGATTTCCTTTGCAATTTTGTCTGAGGTTTACGCATCAAATATGAACTAAATCCCTCCCTTCTAGCCAAGGAGCAACGAAGGCTCTGATTCGCCTAAAAATTGTGAGATCGATTTAATTTAATCTTTTCCTTTTATTTATTGGTATTCGCATATTCCCTGATTGCTATGCTTATGGTTATTTAATTAATTGGTTGTCTTGGATCCGGATGATTAATTGATTTGATAATCTATTGTCAATTGAGGTATTAAATCCGTAATTGTTTAATTACCTCAAACAGTGACAACTGGCATGATTAGATTTGTGTCATGGGAATACGCGGGCTAATCTAAAATAACCCTGGTAGTGCGTTATTTGGTTAGAATAGGGCTCCTCTAATACGTAAGGCAATTGGGGAATTAAATTCTATGGGCGTACCTAGAATTATTTCTCAATTAGAGCAGTGATTAACGGGTGTACCTTGATCACCGACACAGTAAGGAGGGGTTGACTGTCATCGCTTGTTTAGTAGTTATAACATATTTATTGATGAATAATTGGAATTGCCTTTGCTTATCGATGATCAATTAGGTGAACCATTGCTGAAATTATTTCTTGGCTAGATCCTTAATTATCACTTATTAGATTTTAGTAAATTGTTATTCAATTTTTAGTTGGCTATTTTATTTTTATCATTTTATTTTTAGTTGAATTGTTTAAATTGTCACTCCTGATATAAAACACCCCCTTTGTCACTGTGAATTTGGAAAGGAACAATTACTGCCAGTCCCTGTGGATTCGACCCTGCTTACTGCTATCTACAGAAATTACTTTTAGTTTGAGCAGGTTTTATTATTGCACAGGTTTCGACAACCTGTCAATTTTTGGCGCCGTTGCCGGGGACTGGCGTTATTATTTATTTCTTTTTAAATTCATTTTTTTTGTCCTAATTTTCTGGTTTTCTTCTAGTGTATGCCTGGATCTTCTCGTACAGGTAATTTGATTTTTGACCCTGAGGTAGAGAAGACCGCGCGTAGAACGAGAAAGAAAACCAGACAGCTTAGAGAGGAGCACTCCAGTGCTACATCTCAGAGACCTGAGTCAGGAGTCGAACCAACAGATTCATTTGGTGGCACTTCGAGTGATTCGGAGCAAGAAGAAATCCCCTTGACTAATGCACGAACATTAAGGGAGTTGGCTGCCCCTAATTTAAATCAGCAGCCTTTGTGCATTACTTTCCCGAATTTGAGTGAAAACACTTCATTTGAGTTAAAATCTGGTCTGATTTCTCTTTTACCCTCTTTTCATGATTTACCAGGTGAGGAGCCGTATAAGCATCTGCAGGAGTTTGATGTCGTGTGCAACAGTATGAAGCCCCCGGGCATTACAGAAGAGCAGATAAAAATGAGGGCATTTCCCTTTTCCTTGAAGGATTCTGCAAAGGACTGGCTGTACTACCTGTCACCAGGTAGCATCACCACGTGGGACCAATTGAAGAAAAAATTTTTGGATAAATATTTTCCTGCGTCCAGGGCTGCAAGTCTAAGAAAAGAAATTTGTGGGATCAAGCAGCATCCAGGGGAGTCGCTCTATGAGTATTGGGAACGGTTCAACTTCTTGTTGCACAAGTGTCCCCAGCACCAGATAAGTGAGCAGTTACTCATTCAGTATTTTTATGAGGGGCTCTTTTTCGGGGACAGGAGCATAATTGATGCTGCAAGTGGAGGGGCACTGGTGAACAAAACCCCTCAAGAAGCACGGGAGTTGATTGAGAGGATGGCAGAGAATTCGCAATAATTCGGTACGAGAGAGGATTGTCCAATACGCAGGGTGAATGAGGTAGAGACACCCTCCATGCAGCAGCAGCTAACTGAGTTGACCGCGTTTGTTAGGCAACAGGCTGTGAGAAATGCATCACAAGCCAGGGTATGCGGGATTTGCACTGGTATAGGTCACTCTACAGATATGTGCCCAATGATTCAGGAAGAAACTGCAGAACAGGTGAACATGGCTGACCACGCGCCCGCGCCAATGAAGCAGTAAGACCCTTACTCAAGCACCTACAACCCCGGGTGGAGAGATCATCCCAACCTCAGTTATGGAGGGAATAGGCAACCCAACTTTACACCGAACAGGCAGTCTAACTTTGTGCCAAATAAGCCACCGGGTACCAGCAGCAATACCAACCTCGACCACCTCCGCCCCCAAGCTCTGGTCCATCTTTGGAGGAAATGATGAAACAAATGATGACAACCATGGCGCAAAATCAACAAATGATGACAACCATGGTGCAAAATCAGCAAAGGACGGACTCCGAAATGCAGGATATAAGGAATCAGATAAGTCAAATGGCCACAACAATCAACCGTTTGGATTCCCAGAACCAAGGGAAGCTGCCATCTCAACCTGAGTTGAACCCGAAGAATGTGAGCGCCATGACCCTGAGGAGCGGGAAGGAAATTCAGGGGCCTGAACCTGTGATCCCTAAGGATAAGGATGAGGAAAAGATCGAAAATGAGTTTGAAAGGGAGGACAGCAATGGTGCAGACCCAAAGGTACTTCCTGACCCAGTAATTACAGCTAAAACTAACCCGCCTCCTTTTCCTAACAGGTTGGAAAAATCGAAGAAGCAGGATAAGAAAAAGGAGATTTTGGAGGTTTTTCGTAAAATTGAGATAAATATCCCCCTGTTAGACGCGATCAAACAAGTACCAAAATATGCCAAATTCCTAAGGGACTTGTGTGTTAACCGAATGAGGTTGAGGGGAGATGAGAGGGTCATTGTTGGGGAGAATGTGTCAGCGGTCCTGCAGAGAAAGCTTCCACCCAAGTGCGGGGACCCAGGTATGTTTACTATCCCCTGTAGGATAGGGAACACTGTGATTAGAAGGGCCATGTTGGATTTGGGAGTATCAATTAATGTCATGCCTAAATCTATATATGCTTCTCTAAAGCTAGGTCCATTAAAAGAAACTGGAATAATCATTCAATTAGCTGACCGCACTAATGCATATCCTGATGGGTTGGTTGAAGATGTGTTGGTGAAAGTTAATGATTTGGTGTTTTCAGCTGATTTTTATGTACTTGATATGGATGATGATCACTCCCCCGATCCCTCACCTTTGTTGTTAGGTAGACCCTTTATGAGCACAGCACAAACAAAAATTGATGTTAATAAGGGTACCTTATCCATGAAATTTGATGGGGAAACTGTGCACTTTAATATTTTTGATACTATGAAATATCCATCAAACTCCAACTTTAGCTCAGTTTTCTCTGTGAGTGCTATTGACCCTGCGGTGCAGGAAGTATTTGAAACTGTTGGCAGGGATGAGTTGGAGGTAGTTCTGACCAAGCACCTCGAGTTGGAGACAACTCCTGAGGTGGAGTGGAGTAAAGATCTAAAGTGCACAATAGGTGCATTACACTCATTGCAGACCACCACGAAAAGGTATGAAATCTTACCTATTTTTACTCCCGAACCTCACCAGAGGGTATTGCCATCTGTGGTGCAGGCACCTGTACTGGAGTTGAAACCTCTACCAGAGCACCTGAAATATGCATATCTGGGTGATAATGAGACACTCCCGGTGATTATCTCATCTGCACTGTCAAAAACCCAGGAGGAGAAACTGATCCGGATCCTTAGAGAGCATAAAGAGGCGATAGGTTGGACAATTGCGGACATTAAGGGGATCAGCCCGGCCATCTGTATGCACCGGATTAGACTAGATGAGGATGCCAAACCTGTACGACAGGCTCAAAGGAGGCTTAACCCCCTCATGATGGAGGTGGTGAAGAAGGAAATTTTGAAATTGTTAGATGTGGGGATTATTTTTACAATATCAGATAGCTCTTGGGTGAGCCCGGTCCAGGTAGTCCCAAAGAAGGCAGGAGTGACGGTAGAGGCCAACCAAACGGGTGAACTCGTGCCAGTGCGAAAACCCACTGGATGGAGGCAGTGTATTGACTATCGCAGGCTGAACGCCGTTACCAAAAAGGACCATTTCCCTCTTCCTTTCATTGACCAAATGGTTGAACGTTTAGCTTGTAGAGCTTACTATTGCTTTTTGGATGGATTTTCAGGATATTTTCAGATAGCAATTGCACCAGAGGATCAAGAGAAGACAACCTTCACGTGCCCGTTCGAGACCTTTGCCTATAGACGAATGCCATTCGGGTTGTGCAATGCACCTGCAACATTCCAGAAGTGTATGGTAAGTATTTTTTCTGAATATGTGGAGAAAATAATTGAAGTTTTCATGGATGATTTCAGTGTGTATGGTGATAGTTTTGATACATGTTTAGATAACCTGAAATTGATCCTGATAAGGTGTATAGAGACTAATCTTGTGCTTAATTGGGAAAAATGTCATTTTATGGTTGAGCACGGGATAGTCCTGGGTCATATTGTATCGTCTAAGGGCATCGAGGTTGACAGGGCTAAAATAGATATTATATCTGCTTTGCCTTACCCCACTAGTGTGCGGGAGGTACGCTCTTTTCTTGGACATGCAGGTTTTTACCGGAGGTTCATCAAGGATTTTTCAAAAATTGGAGCCCCGTTGTTCCAACTCCTACAAAAGGAGATGACCTTCGAATTCGATGCCAAATGTGATAAAGCCTTCGACAAGTTGAAAGAGTTGTTGACCTCACCCCCAATCATCCAGCCCCCTGACTGGAGTCTACCATTTGAGATCATGTGCGATGCCAGTGATCATGCTGTAGGGGCTGTGTTGGGGCAAAGAATGGGAAAGGCAGCCCACGTCATCTATTATGCGTCCCGAGCACTGAATGGAGCTCAACTGAATTACTCCACTACTGAGAAGGAGCTGCTTGCAGTTATTTTTGCTCTAGAAAAATTTAGGTCATATCTGTTAGGTGCTAAAGTGATTGTATTTTCTGATCATGCAGCATTAAGGTACCTGATGACCAAAAAAGATGCAAAGCCAAGGCTCATCAGGTGGATATTGCTACTACAGGAATTTGACCTGGAAATAAGGGATAAAAGGGGCTCAGAGAATTTAGTAGCTGACCATCTGAGTCGTATACCCGTTGGAGAGGATAAGGAACCATTGAGGGATGCATTCCCTGAAGAGCATTTATTTTCTTTAAATTCTCAATTGCCTTGGTATGCTGATTTAGTCAATTATTTGGTAACTGGTAATTTTCCTGCAGGTTGGCCAAAGTCGAAAATGGATAAATTGAAGAGCGACGCCAAGTACTTCATCTGGGATGACCCGTACCTATGGAAAAGGTGTGCAGACCAAGTGATGCGGAGATGTGTAAGTGAAATGGAATTTCAATCGATTTTAGCTTTTTGTCATACTTTTGCCTGTGGAGGTCATTTTGGACCCAAGAGAACTGCTCATAAGGTTTTAGAAAGTGGATTTTATTGGCTTTCATTGTTTAAGGATGCCTATGTGTTTTGTAAGTCATGTGATCGCTGTCAAAGGGTAGGTAATATAACCCGTAGGGATCAAATGCCCCAAGTCCCGTTGATTTTTGTTGAAATTTTTGATGTCTGGGGTATAGATTTCATGGGGCCTTTTCCTACTTCATTTGGTTTTTTATATATTTTGCTGGCAGTTGACTATGTGTCTAAATGGGTGGAGGCTAAGGCCACTCGGACTAATGATTCGAGAGTAGTAGCAGATTTTATCAGGGCTAATATTTTTGTACGATTTGGAATGCCAAGAGCTATTGTCAGTGATAGGGGAACGCACTTCTGCAACAAAACCATTGCTGCGTTGTTTCGCAAGTATGGTGTACTCCACAGGGTCTCAACGTCGTACCACCCTCAGACCAATGGTCAAGCGGAGGTATCGAACCGGGAAATCAAATCCATCTTGGAGAAAATGGTGCGCCCCGATAGGAAAGATTGGAGTCAACAGTTGGAGGACGCACTCTGGGCCTATCGGACGGCGTACAAGACTCCTATAGGGATGTCACCGTACAGATTGGTATTTGGGAAGCCGTGTCACCTTCCAGTGGAGTTCGAGCACAAGGCTTTTTGGGCGATAAAGCAATGTAACATGAATCTAGAGGAGGCCGGTGCCCAACGGAAGTTGGATTTGCAAGAGTTGGAGGAGATTCGGAACGAAGCCTACGAAAATGCATTAATTTATAAGGAGATAAGCCGGACATTTCATGACCAACAAATTTCAAGAAAAACATTTGAAGTTGGTCAGAAGGTCCTCCTATACCAATCAAGGCTCAAGTTATTCCCAGGTAAGCTACGTTCCCGTTGGATTGGACCTTTTATGGTTACTCACGTTTTTTCATATGGTGCAGTTGAAATCCGCAGTGCTAAGACAGACAACAAGTTTGTGGTGAATGGACACCGTCTCAAACACTATTACGAAAGTTTTTTAGATGGAGAAGTGGAGACAATACATCTAGACGCACCACCGTGTCTTGATCAGTGACACTTTACCATGTCTAGCCAAAGACATTAAAGAAAGGCGCTCCTTGGGAGGCAACCCAATTGTTCCTTTTAATTGTTTGTTCAATTTCATGTGGTAGTTTAGATGTGTTCTACTTGAATTCGATTGATTTTGGGTTTCAGTTTTCGTTTTTGCTGATTTATAGGTGCCCTTCAGTCATAACGTGCCCGCGTGGTGATGTGCAGGAAGCTCACGATCAGAAAATTCAGAAACTTCTAGGAGCTCTCTCGCCCTCATGACGCACCCGCGTGGTGATGTGCAGGAAGTTCACGATCAGAAAATTCAGAAACTTTTGGGAGCTCTCTTGCCCTCATGACGTGCCCGCGTGGTGATGTGCAGGAAGCTCACGATCAGAAACTTCTGTGAGCTCTCTTGCCCTCATGACGCGCCCGCGTCACGTTCGCAGGAAAGGTAAGGATTCAAAAAAAAAAAAAAGAAAGAAAAAAAATAGAATAAACATTTCTTATCACCGTAGCTTTAGTTTCCAAATTTTTTTTAAAAAAAAAAAAAGAAAAATTTTATTTGAAAAGTCGAAATCAATTTCCAAAAAAAAAAAAAAAAAAGAAGAACGAAAAATTATTTCCGTGGCTCAAAGAGCCTCATAATTGGAAGAAAAGAAAAAAAAAAGAAACAAACAGCAATTTCTCTCTTTTGCTTTTCCTTCTTTTCTTTTCTTTTTTTTTCTTTCTTCCTTTCTTTCTTCTTCTCTCTTTCTCTTTTCTTTCTTTCTTCCCCGCTGCTCCCTTTCTCTCTGCGCACGCCGACCGAGAGCCGCGCCGCCCTCCCACCATCTCCGCTCACGCCGCGAGCTCTCTCCCTCTCTCTTCAATTCGCAGCCATCAGTCGCAACCCACGCCTCCTCTGTTGCGCAACCAGCAGATCTCCATGGCTCGCCGCCGCTGCTGTAGCTCCATCGCCTGCCATCCACTCGCGCCGCCCACCTCAGTCCCGCGCCGTCCTACCACCAGCTCTACTGCGCCGCAGCCTCCACACGCAGCTCCCTCCTAGCGCAACCACAGGCGCACAGGCGCGGCAGCAGCCTCTGTCCCGCCGCCCAACCGCGACGCGCGCCGACCCCCCCACAAGCCGACGCCATCGCTGCTGAAGTCGCGCGCTGCGGCTGCTCTGTGCGTCTCTCTCACAGCTCCACCTGCCCCTGCTCTGTTCGCCGCTGACCAGTTCCAGCGCAGCCACCACCGGCTCTTTCTATCCCATTTCGTTTGGCTAACCCCTACGGTGAAGGTATTTGGAAGCCGTCCCTCAAATTCTTAATATTGCTTGGTGTTTTGGGGTTGCCTAATAGTGGTGTCGCTGCTTATTGGGGGTTATTTCTTCCATTGTGTGATTTTCGCCAGTGGTACCGGTTGGTCTATTTTTGTTTAGAACTGCTATTTCTCTTGGGTTGTGTTAAATTGTGCAATTAATTGGCCAATTGGAGCCATTTGTTGGGACTTTGGGTGAGCTGAATTACTGTGATTGTTTCCTCACTTTTGGGGACACTTTGAACCTCACGTTGCTTGTGGACATTGGTTGTCTCGTTGTGAATTGCTGGGCACTATTTTGCTTGAATTGCTGGATAATTCGCTGAGGTTTCTTTTGGGATTTTAGTTGAGTTATTTCTGCAAATTCTTGTTGCTTTAGAGAGACTGGCCACGTGTTTTACTTGTTGAGATTGGTAATATTCAGTTTACTTACTTGTTGAATTGCTGATTTGGAGGAGCCTTACTGTATTGGGCATTGGGCATTGCTACTTGCTGAAACTCCTCTTTTTGTTATTGGTTGGGTCATTCCTGGGAAATTATTGTTTTGTTCTGCTGAGTTTCCTTTGCTGGTTGCATTTGCTGGTTTCCATACCTGTTGGAGCTTCTGTTGCTTAGAACTGACTGTTGGGTGCCATGGTGAGACCAAAATCCTCCTCTAGGTCTAGGGCCTCTCAGTCTCAACCCCCTCCACAAGCTTCTATTCCTGTCAACTCACCTACCAACCTACCCTCCTCTTCTAGTGTTCGAACCCGTTTGGGTAGGGGTAGGGGTGCTCAGGTAGATACCCCTGCTCACTTTGGGGGGCACTTAACATTTACCAGACCCGCCGATCGGCAGAGATACGCTAAGGTCTGTGAGAGGCGTATTATACCCTGCAAATCTTGTCACAAAATCACAATGACTGCCCTGGGTATACGTGAGGAGGTCAATCAGATGTTTACCGCCATTGGGTGGTGCCCGTATCTTGATATCTCCTGCCCTGCTTTTGTTGAGCTGATTCGGGAGTTTTACTCCACCTTTGAGTTCGAGTTGCCTACGAGATACACCGTTGAAACACCAAATGTCATCCATTTCCGTCTCATGGGTCGAGAGTTCAATTTCTCCATTACCTAATTCAATCTGGCATTTGGGTTTATTACTAGAGAGTATGCTGAAACTAGGGAGTATGCGGAGCGTGCCTGTGATTACATCGAGCCATTTCTCTCCCAATACCATGATGTGTGGGAGGAAATGTCAGTCGATCGACACCGCTACGACCCTTCTAGGTCTAGGAGCTCCTTTCTTAAGGATCCTAGTGCCCGCTATATTCAGCGATTCTTAGCCTACAGCTACTCAGGGCGCAAGGACAGCTCCGGTATACTCTCTCGACCTGAGTTTTTCTTCCTCTGGAGTATGAAGAACAATATCAATGTCAACTTGGGGTGTTGGTTGGCTGCACAGTTCAAGACTGTTTTGACCAAGAAGAACAAACCTCTGATTCTTGGGTCCTACATTACCCACTTGGCGACGCAGTTGGGAGTTCTTATTTTGAAGGACCACGACTTACATTTGGCTTTCGAGATGGAGCTCCTGGAAGTGAACTGCTTAGAGAAAATGGGAGTCGTCGAGCGCCTGCCCACTGGTTTCTACCAGTTTACCCCTCCGGGACCCCCTCGAGCCCCAGGTGCACACCATTCGGCCCGGGCAGGGCCATCTTCATTCCCTGGGTCGGCCGAGGACACCGCTGGACCGTCATCTTCTGCGCCACCTCCACCATATGGGTCAACTGAATGGCAACAACTCCGGGAGCGGGTTCAGAATTTGGAGGCTCGAATGCTCAACGTCGACCTCAATGTAGCTGGCATAGCACAGAATTTGGCGCAATTTCTGCATCATACGGGTTTTCCTCCTCCAGCTCCACCTCGCCCACCTCTTTGACCGGATTTCAGGGAAGTGTTGCTGTCCTCTCACCCACTTTTGTTGGTTATTTGTCACATTGAGGACAATGTGTCCTATAGGTGTGGGGGGGTCTAATGGGGTGCTAGTGTTTTTAGTTTTCTTTAGTTTTTAGTTTTATTTCTAGTTGCTCATTTTCTTTCTTTCTTCTTGGTGCTTATCTCTCCTGCAAATAAAAAAAAAACAGAAAAAGAAAAGAGAAAATTTTTTTTTTTGATGTTGGCTCATTGACTCTAATTCTACTTTTGCCAAGTTTTTAAAATAAGTATGTATTGGGTTGATGTGGTTGGATCTAAGATATCTCCTTGGTGAATATCGGATTGCTTGGCCCTTTTGATTTCTTTGTTAACTTTTCTAGGCGTTGGGAATTACTGTTGGCATTTTAAGGTGAACTGGTCCAATATTGACTCCAGTTCTCCATGTTTGGCAATAATGAGGCGAGCTGCCCCTATGCTTAGTTGCTAGTGTTGGTATTTCGTGTTTTTGGCTTTGTTTGGCTGTGAATAATCTGGACTGTACTCCGCTATTAGTCACTACTGAGTAACCGGGGATCTGCACCCAAAAGTGTCGATTCTCGCGTCAAAAGGTGGTACTTTCTATGAGTACGTGGTCGTATAGCGGTAGAAGCTGAGTAACCGAGCTCCTTCACCTAAAAATGTTGGAGTTCGCGTCAAAAGGCTCCGGCGGCTAGAGACTAAGTCTTCTTGTGTCAAATATTATTATTGCTTGAAGAAATGTAAAAAAAAAAAAAAGAAAAAAAAAGAGGAAAAGAAGAGAGAATAGATAATAGGGAAGCTTGCTGGTTTATGGACTTAATATGGGGACTTGTGTGAATACTTGGACCATTAGCTGATAAATGCTGCGTGCCATTCCCTTGTCCTTAGATTAGTTAATTTGGAAATTGAAGGAGTTTGTGGTTTAGAGGCTAACTGAGGGGATGCTTCTCGGATTTTAATTACTAGTGCCCGATATGTGGTTCTTTCTTGAATATCTTGGCAGTTTGGTAGATTGGGCAATGACCATTATCAAATTTTGGTGTCTTATGCTTGAGGACAAGCATGGTTTAGGTGTGGGGGGAATTGATAGGCGGAAATTTATCTATTTATTTTACTATTATTTTCCCCTATCACCTGACTTGATGTGGATTAATTGTTGGATTCTACTCATTTTTCTTAATTTACGTATATTTCAGGGAGTAGAACGAAAATATGATAACAGGTGCCAAATTGACTGGAAAAGAATTCAGATGATAAAGCTTGTCCCAGGGGCACTTTTGGAAAAAAGATGTCACGCCCATTTTGGTAATTTTCGCAAAGGAATGACGGACGGAGGGCTTCTCTTCCTGCTGTGAGCCGCCGCAATAAGAAGAAGAAAAGAGGATCAGATGAGGGCTGGCTTTGATTCTTAGTTTTTTCGTCTTTAGCTTAGCAAAGAAAATTGTTGACTTTTCCTTTGAGTTTACCTTTTTGCTTTTGAGACTTACGAATGTCAGGAGCTTAGCCATCCTTGGCTTTGACTTTTTCTTCTTCTTTAGCTACTTTTAGTAGTTCTCTTCTTTTCCTTTGTGCGTGGAACAGAATGGAAGCCATGAATGGCCTTCTGTAGCTTTTCTATTTATTCAGTATTCGGACGAATTGGATTGTCCAAATTTAGACGGACGATGGCCGCGATTTCCTTTGCAATTTTGTCTGAGGTTTACGCATCAAATATGAACTAAATTCCTCCCTTCTAGCCAAGGAGCAACGAAGGCTCTGATTCGCCTAAAAATTGTGAGATCGATTTAATTTAATCTTTTCCTTTTATTTATTGGTATTCGCATATTCCCTGATTGCTATGCTTATGGTTATTTAATTAATTGGTTGTCTTGGATCCGGATGATTAATTGATTTGATAATCTATTGTCAATTGAGGTATTAAATCCGTAATTGTTTAATTACCTCAAACAGTGACAACTGGCATGATTAGATTTGTGTCATGGGAATACGCGGGCTAATCTAAAATAACCCTGGTAGTGCGTTATTTGGTTAGAATAGGGCTCCTCT